TTACGTAATGAAACGTTTAATTATATAGGGAAATTCTCTTTTCGCGCGTGCAAATTTTTAGAAAGGAGGCTATACAGAGAAGAGGAGAGGGAGGGACGGTTAAAAATAGGATTTGAAAACTATAGGTCCCTTCGAGCATCGTTGGAAATTTTTCTTTCCGCGTCGAGTGTACGTCCCACTTTCTACTCATTGTCCTACAATCGTTCGTATCCCCGAATAGGGATATTCGTTAAATCCCGTGGGCTAACCGGTGATCGTAACCAAAGTGAATTCGTCGAAAAAAAAAAAAAAAAAAAAAAGAAAAAATTTTTCTTTTCCCTTCTATTTCAATTTTTAAAAATCGACGAGAAGGGAAAGCGCGGGAATTCACGGTCCTTCCGTTCATCAATTTTGCTTCACGCCCTGTTAATTTAAACGATGCGGCAAGTGGCGAGCAATTGTTTACGAAACAAGGGGAAAGAAACCTAGTAAACGATCTCGATAATTTCTTTTTCAAGTGATCCTCGATTATTGTCGAGATAAAAAATCCTCATCCGAATTGAAAAAAAATCGGACGAGAATGGAAGAGAAGGAAGAGAATATACGGACGAGAATAAACGAAAGCAACCATTCAGATCGGATCCCATTCGGATTCAGATCTGTTCCGATTGGTATAGTTTTTACTCGCGATAAAATAATAATCGGCGGCGAAAAGCATTGTGAACACACCTTAAGAGCGAAGTACGTACTTACGATGAATAAAAGGAAGAAAAGCGGTACAGGTTTACTGCATCGGGTTTAGCGCAGTGAATCCGGCGAAAGGAAAGAGAGGAGAAGCAGAAGAGGAGCCGAGGAAGGAAACTACGGAGGAGGCCATGTTGGAAAATAACGCGCGTCGTAAAAATTCTTTACCCTTCGCGCGGATACCTGTTGCCAGGGTAAAGATACACCTCTTTCTCCCTCGGCTTCATCCCGCTCTGGTCTCATCTCGATTCGTTCAAGGACTTAAAAATTCGATCCCCCCCCCCCCTGGGTTGGTACCAGAACCAGAAAGGCCGTATTAAAGATGAACTCGAAACCTTGCTTGCTCGACCGTATTCCACCTTGTTGTATCGCCTCCATCATGCCTCCATCCCCCTCCCTTCGTCCTCTTTTTGCTCTTGTCTTTCCTATCAACTCGCGCGTCCCTCCATCGTAGCGAATTCTTAAAACCTGTGTGCCGCGCTTGCCGCGGATAATTTAAGAAAACGATAAAAGGGAACGGATGGACGATACAATAAAACGAGAGAGAGAAAATCTGCGAGAATTCTTTTTTGTTCCTCTTTTCTTTCTTTCTTTCTTCACGTACAGCCCTCTTGATCCCACGGAGCAAGTTCTTCCTTCGTCATTTGTCGGACGAACCTTTTCTTTCTCCTTCCTTTCTTTTTTTGATTAAAATTCCACGATTTGATTGAAGAGAGCCCTCAAAATGCTTGGGGTAAAAACGAAATTCGCGATTTAATCTTTTTTCCCCTCCATCGATCCGATAACAGCAACAGAATCCAAGTAGCAGCGAATTCAAAGTACAAAGAACACGAGGTGTGGTGCTCGAGCTCGAAGTTGGATCTCGCACGCCGCGTTATTTTCCAAGCACCACTGGCTCAAGGTTAAATGGCTCATTACCGTGTTGGCCGCAAGAAGGAACAGAGTTGGACACACTGAGCGGTCAGCAACCGGTATTAACCGCCTCGGCCATTGCTTCTCGAGCCGTAAAGAGAGAACCTAGAATCCTCCTTCCCTTCAACCCTCGATCCAACTTTATAAAATTTTTCTTATCAACGCTTCGAACCCGTCGTCGTCCTCTGAACGAGAGAGAGAGAGAGAGAGAGAAAGCAAAAAAAGAAAAGAATCTAATTACGATTCATCCCCTCTCGAAGAAGCTCTCAACTTTGGCTACAGTCGTTTAATGTAACGATTCCGCGAATCGTTCTTTGTTGAAGAAAATACACGCGCGCGCGCGCATTCTCTCTCCCTCTCCCTCTCTAAAAGAAGCAACTAAAAGAAAATGCATTTACACCCGTTAGAGCGCGAACTCGATTCGCTCGCAAGCAACCCCGGGGTAGGTCGTAGAGGGGCGGCTCGGTGTAAAAATGGGAATTCCCTGTGCTCGTATCCACGGAACCGGCGTCTCGTTGGTCGAGCCTCTCTACGTACACTGTTACGAGCATCCTCGTTCGATGCGCCCCGGACGGTGGTATACGTATTACCGTACACCTCTTGCCGGCTCCCATAAACCGGCTCACAAGTGGCCGAGACATTCGCCTCTCGACCGCG